GTAGCACCACTATTTGCATGCATGCAAATATTATTATTTTAAAACAATATATCCAAATTCAAATTCAAATTCAAAATATCTTTATTCATATCTATTACAGACTCTTATGATATGTCAAATCTACCGTCAGTTCGGAATGTTATCGAGATGAGAAGAACTGACAAGAAACTTAGCTCGTAAAATTTCTTTACATTAAAATATTATAATAGGTACCACAATAAAATAACAAAATGTTAAAATTCCACTAATATCAATCAATATTATTATTAAAACTATGATACCCACTGTCTGTTCGGAATTATATATATATATATATATATATATTTCTTTTTTAATTTATAATCATATACCCTATTTCTAACACATACATATATTTTTCTTTTTGAATACTGCTAATTGACAATTGGTTTCTTTATATACAATAGTCTAATCTGATAACTCATTTTCTTTAATTGTTTGTATTCCTTTTAAATTCATTCTGCTCTAATGATCTTAGCCCTCAGGCGCTAATATATGATATAATAATATTATAAAAAAAGTTGCTAACATTGTACCATGGCAGGCTGTCCTCCACGCGGTTCCTCCTGGAAACCATCATTTTATTGTTCTTTTTGCTAATGATTGTATATTCGTCCTATTCCAGTCACACCTACGTTATTACTATTGCAGTATAGACTTGTGTATACACTAATCTAATTATACAGGAACTTTAGCCATTCCATAAATTATGCACTCCGCAGTGGAGACTAGATCGATAGAAAGGGGAGAGGTTAACTAACAAAATACTACTAGCTTGACATTATAATACTGTGCAAATATAATAATTTCAGGACTATTCACACAGCGCCATCTAGTCCCAAGTTAAGCTAGATAAAGCTGTATATAGTATTCGTATCGGTTAGCTGAGTAATAGATAACCGATACAAATACTTTGACATTTGTTTTTGTAAATACATACATAATACACATAGAAAACACAAACAATCATACTCATGAATACAAATATTTCAACCGTGCTAGGAATCAGACCCGCGACCATTAAAAGCAAAGTGGTCTAAACCGCTAGACCACCGAGGCCGTTAAGTAATAAAATAATTAAAAAAATACTTATTCCCAAAATTTGTATAAACTACATAGAAAACATCCAGACCGATACAAACAATCATACTCATGAATACAAATATTTGCACTGTGCGAGGATTCGAACCTGCACCATTGGAAGCAAAGCGGTGACCTAAACTGCTACGACAACCGGGTCAAGTAATAAAAACAAAAAACAATAATAAATTTCCCCAAAACGTGTATAAAATACACAGAAAACATCCAGACCGATACAAAAAATCACACTTATGAATACAAATATTTGCACTGTGCGAGGAATCGAACCTGCACCATTGGAAGCAAAGCGGTGTCCTTAACTGCTTCGCCAACCGGGTCAAGTAATAAAAACAAAAAACAATAATAAATTTCCCCAAAACGTGTATAAAATACACAGAAAACATCCAGACCGATACAAAAAATCACACTTATGAATACAAATATTTGCACCGTGCGAGGAATCGGAACCTGCACCAGTAAACCTAAAAGTAAAGTACCTGAACTAAAGCCTAAACCGCTACGCCATCCGGGTCAAGTAATAAAAACAAAAAACAATAATAAATTTTCCCAAAAGGTGTCCGGCGCTGGCGGTGGTGCCATGTCAGTGTCATGATTAACTTGAATTGGATGTCAAATCTGAACGTAATATTTAATGACTAAGCCATCAAAAGCCTTCTATGGGTATACCTAAATCAGATACCATAAATTGTTTACTGTTACCGTCTAAAAAATCCTTGATAAAATAAAATATGATAAACGAAATTTCACACGCAAATCCATCTTTACATAGTATAAAAAAGTCGCTGTCGCTGTCTGTCCGTCCCTATGTATGCTTAAATCTTTTAAACTACGCAACGAATTTTGAAATTTTTTTTTTAATAGATAGAGTGATTCAAAAGGAAGGTATATATATAATACATGTACACCCTGGCGAAGCCGGGTCGAGTAGCTAGTAACTAATATTTTGACTCTAATTGTTTGCGCCACAACTAGTTTAAATGCACATCTCGTGTAATAGACAAGGACAGACATACTCACGATCTAGGGCCGAAAGGAGCCGAGTACGTCCGCGCCATCGCTGGAAAGAAAGATGGCGCTTCTTCTTCGTTTCCCGCTCGTGTCTGAGAAACGCCGCTCGCACATAATTACGTTTTATAATAATTGAATCACTACGATTTAATAAACTATTGAATTGTCAAGGTGTATATAGATAGTGTGCAATATTCAAGGTGTATATACACTAATTTCCGCCGCGCGTGTTGTGTGTGTGATCAGTTCATCGATCATCATCGTCGTCGATCATCGATTCCTGCACCAAGACGCCATAGCAGAAAGCCAGGTACGCTCGTAACTCCTTACTTTGCCCGTGATCTGTGACGACAGTCTTATCGAAGGAATATATCTCTCGGGATACATATCCCTAGGGAACCGCAATAACATTATTTTGGCCCGTTGCGAACCGGATATTTTGCTATTTTTAAATTGAGTTACATTTAATAACGTACCCCTTTTGCTATTTATTCGCAAGGTCCTTCGTTTAATATTATTATTAAGAAACCGCTTTCAAAATTGATAATATAAAATCCGCTTATTTAGTCTTATATTACTTATTTGTTTCTCAGACATACCCGCGTAGCCATATAGGATTGCCTTGTTATTTCTTTATATTATACCGCAACCAAGCACCTATATGTGTAATAGTTTATTATTTATAAACATATTTATTATATACCGCTATAGAATACCATATGATATCCCGCATTCCTCTGTATTATCTCTTTAGATAATAAATATTTATATCACCGCATTTATAGTATAGTCTTAAAATTGTATCCTATAACTATATTATACATAATATACTTGTACATCCCGCACACCTATAATATACAAATATAAATGTCTATATCCCGCATTCCATTATATTTTATATAGTAATCTACGCAACACTTAACCGTGTTCTCGCTACATACCTACATATAATTTTTATTTTCGTTACTGTCCGCTTACGCTGTCTATTGACAGGTCACTGTATAATTACCTATAGTTATATTGCGTTAAATCATTAGATATGTCACGTAAAGATAAAGATGCGCCTACCTTTTCACCTAGTCGTCAACTTATTATGTTAGAAGCTAAACGTAATGCTTTATTTCAACGAATACAAAGTATTTACGATAAGTCAAAGTTGGCTACGGAATCGGAAGAAAAAAGACGTATGTTTCTTAGTTCATGTATAACCATCGATGACGTTCGTAATAAGTTTCAAGATGTACTTGATGAATATAATAGTAGGATGCTTGATGAGAATCCTTCTGCCGTACCTAATTTTCATGTATATGACTCATTTGAAGATTTGTTTTGTTCAATTAAACAGACATTTTCTGATCTTTCTTCTGCGCCCACGGGTGGGAATTCGTGTGGGATAGATGCACCTGTATCTAGGCCCAGGCTCCCCCCTGGAATTAGTCTCCTTCAGCGGCAATTATCAAGATTGGAATTTATTTTACGCTAGTTACAAATCTACTGTCCATGACAACTCCTCACTTACAAACTCAGAAAAACTGTATTATTTACTGGGTAAGTTATCACCCAAAGTACAATCGGTATTTGCAGGTATTACACCCTGCGCCGAAAACTATGAAATTATATTTAAGTCTCTGCTTGATAAGTATCAAGATATTCACGTTCTCGGTTCTAATTACTTAGACCAGATTTTAAATCTTAAATTAGGCAAAATGCCTTCCGCCGCAAGTTTTCAATTATTTATAGATAAGTATGTCACCGCCGCTATGTCATTAAAGGGCTTAGGTATAAAACAATTATCTGATTTCATTTTATTATATATTGCAAAACGTAAATTCGATTCAGAAACATTACGCGCGTTCGAATTACACTCTTCTATAACAAAATCACGTGATTTTGACGGATTTATTAATTTTATAAAAACGCAATGCCGCATATATGAAAATACACAACCCGCGCCCGCCACCAGTACAGAGTCAAATAAATACCGCCCGCCTGCTAAGTACCCGGATCCGCAGTCTTATGTTTCAAGTGTTACACCTATAAAATGTTCACTTTGCAATAGTAATATGCATGATCATTTTTATAAATGTAGTGCATTCGAAAAATTGTCACCTCTCGATCGTTATAAACATATTAAAGCTAACAATTCATGCGTAAATTGTTTAAGTACCAAGCATAAGTCAGGTGTTTGTAGATCAAAATCTTCGTGTCGTGCATGTCAAAAGCGCCATCATTCTTTGCTACATTTTGTTACGGATCGGGGCTCGCTGCCCGCGCGCGATGCGCCCGCGCCCCGTAGTAGCATGGCCTCACCCCCGCTCCCGTCACACAGTGGCGAGGCCGTGGCCAAGCAGAGTGGTCTGTCACTTTGCGCGCTCAGTAACAAAACTGTGCTACTAGCAACTGCACGCGTTATTGTGTATGACGCATTAGGTAAACAACACTTAGTTCGATGTTTATTGGACAGTGCGTCCCAAAGTAATTTTATTACTGATGAATGTTGTGACCGCTTAGGTTTATTAAATGAATTAAAATATTCATCTACGATGGTAAAGGGTATTGGTGGCCCACAAAAAAACGTTAAGGGTTCAGTAGAATTTAATATATTTTCTCGTTTTAATTTTAATGTTCACTTTAATATTTCCGCGCTTGTTGTTGACCGTATTACGGACAGTTTGCCTTCCGTTCCTGTCAATACCGCCGCATTTTCACACATTAAAAACCTACCGCTGGCAGACGGCGAGTTTGCCATTCCTAGTAATATAGACGTACTTATAGGTAGTTCTATATTCCCGCACTTGCTATTGCCGGGTATTGTGCATAGCAAGCATCGTAATATTCCGCCTGCGATACAAACCGTATTAGGGTTTGTAATCATGGGTTCCGTACCCACTTTTAATTCCGCATCGCCTAATTCCGCATTATTAAATACCGCATATACAACGTCATGTTGTTCCGTGATTCATGATCGTATGGACACTCTCTTCCAAAGTTTTTGGGAATTGGAGGAGATAACCGCGCCGCCCGCTCAGAGTGCCGATGATCTCGAGTGTGAACATTATTTTCGCGCCACCACTACTCGTGATGATAGTGGTAGATATATCGTATCCCTGCCGTTTCGAGAGGACATGTTCTCCTTAGGTGACTCTTTCGCTGCCGCACATAGACGTTACTTATGTCTAGAACGTAAGTTGGAAGCGTCACCTCATTTTCGTTTTTCTTATAACGAAGTAATTCGCGCATATATTGATAAGGGCTATTTAAGTCCAGTTAAATCGCATCAAGACAATTCACTTATACCCTCGTACTACATTCCACATCACGGAGTGCTACGAGAGGATAAGGTCACCACTAAATTGCGCGTGGTTTTAGATGCCAGTTGTAAAACGACATCTGGTCGTTCGTTAAATGATATATTGCATAGTGGTACCAACCTACAGGGTGATTTATTTAGTATTTTAATTAACTTTCGTCTTTTTAAAGTTTGTATTTCCGCCGACTGTTTTCAAATGTTTCATCAAATAGTTGTACGCGAACCCGATCGTAGGTTTCAGCGAATTTTGTACCGCTTCAGCACCGATGATCCTGTGACTGAATATGAATTTAATCGTGTATGCTTCGGACTGAGGTCGAGTCCATTTCTCGCGCTCCGCGTTGTTCAACAACTAGTTGAAGATGAAGGGGATAAATTCCCTGCTGCTGCCGCTGTTGCTTCGTCTGCACTATATATGGATGATATCGTATCTTCTGTTATGACAGATGAACAGGCTATTACCATTAGCAACACTTTTTAAAATGGCACAGTTTGATCTCGTAAAGTGGACGAGCAGCTCCCGCGACGTGCTTGCTCACATCCCGGATACACACAAAACCCTCAGTGACAAATCATTCGATAATTCCACCCCGCACAAGATCTTAGGTCTATTTTGGGATAACTCTAATGATTCTTTTAAGTTCAAGGTAATCACGCCAGACGCTATATGTACTAAGCGCGCTATTCTCTCCGCTGTTGCCCGTTTATGGGACATTTTAGGTTTCGTGGCTCCCGCTATTTTGTACGCCAAGCTCCTTATTAAGGAACTCTGGTTGTTGAAATGTGATTGGGATGCTCAACCCCCGCATCATATCATCGCAGCCTGGAGACAGTTCTGTTTAGAACTGCCCTCGCTTAATAGGCTTCGCATACCGCGACACCTAGGTGTGGTTGAGGATTGTCAATTGAATATTTTAGGATTTGCTGACGCTAGTGAACGTGCTTATGGCGGTGTAGTCTACCTACACATTCAGGTTGATAATAAATATTTTGTTCAATTATTATGCGCCAAGTCAAAGGTCTCGCCTGTAAAAATTGTATCCATCGCGAGATTAGAATTGTGCGCAGCCGTATTACTCGCAAAACTACTTCGTAAGGTTGTTGATACTATCGCACCACGGTATCCTGTGAATAATATATACGCCTTTAGTGATTCAAAAGTGGCTCTTTGTTGGATCCACTCTTTTCCGCACCGCTGGCAAACTTTCGTTGCCAATCGGGTAGTACAAATTATCGATAACGTCCCGGCAGACTGTTTCTATCACGTTGCTGGTTCCGATAATCCTGCAGACTGCCTGTCTCGTGGACTCACACCAGACAAGCTAGTAAACCATCCGCTATGGTACACCGGACCTTCATGGGTATTAAGTAACCCGGCCGAGTGGCCACTTGCTGTTAATCACGACTTATCGAATGAAGACATTCCCGAACAACGGACTGTTATACACACATTAATTTCAAATACCTCTGAATCACTACTTTACGCGCTATCTCAACGCTTTTCTGTATATTCTAAATTATTACGGACTATTGTTTATATATATAAATTTATTAAACGCCTTCCTCGTAATACCGTTATTACGAGTGAAGACTTAGATTTTGTTGAAATAAGGTTAATCCGCGCCGTGCAAGAAGTATATTTTGCACATGAGTTTAATAATAAAAATAATAAATATTGTTCTTCCGCTTTAAACAAGCTCCGACCATTTATAGACAAGGACGATGTCATCCGCGTCGGTGGTCGCTTGTCAAGTTCCGCTGAGGATTACTGCACTAAGTATCCTCTACTTTTACCGCGCCGCGATCATGTTATCGATATTCTTATCGACTTTTATCATAAGAAGCATCTTCATGCAGGACCAGAGTTACTTATGTCCTTACTCAGGCAGAAGTACTGGATCCTGTCCGCTCGCCGCTTAATACGTTATCGCATTCATAAATGTAACGCTTGTTTTAAAATAAAACCGCGCCCTACGTTTCCACTCATGGCCGATCTACCGAGCCACCGCGTCACTCAAGTTGATAAGGCATTTACGCATGTAGGCTGTGACTATGCCGGTCCCTTACAGTACACACCTATTCGTGGTCGGGGGGTTAAAGGCCGCAAAGCATGGCTATGTATTTTCACTTGTCTGACAACCCGTGCTACTCATATTGAAGTTGCTACTGATTTAAGCACGGTTAGTTTCTTATCCGCACTTAAACGATTCTTATCTCGCCGAGGCCCGATAAACTGTTTATATACGGACAATGGAACATGTTTCGTGGGTGCTCGCAAGTATCTTCGCGATTTATATAAGTTTCTTGATGAATATCGCCCGCATTTAGAATTAGAACTTTCAGAAAATCGCATTAGTATGAAATTCATTCCTCCCGCTGCTCCCCACTTCGGTGGAAGTTGGGAAAGCATCGTAAAAATAGTTAAAAATAATTTATTTAAGGTGATAGGATCACAAATTCTCTCTTATGAGGAACTTATAACAGTGCTTTCTCAGGTTGAGGCACTTATTAATTCGCGTCCACTCACAGCTAGAAGTAGTGACCCCGCTGAGCCGTCTGCTCTTACGCCGGCTCATTTTTTAAATACTGTCCCTCTTTCATCCATTCCTGCGCCAGAAGCCAACACGCACGATTTAAATCAACGCCATTCCCTTCTGGATAGCATTGTACAGTCTTTCTGGCGCCGGTGGCGAATGGAGTATCTGCATCAATTGCAGACACGCGCTAAATGGAATCTTCCATCAGTTCCCATTAAGGAGGGTACTGTTGTAATTTTAGTAATAGATAACGCACCGCCCTTTTCATGGCCATTAGCTGTCGTTGAAAAGGTACATCCTTCCAAAGACGGAACTACGCGAGTGGTCACTGTTAGGACTTCAAAGGGTAGCTACCTTCGCCCGGTAGTTCGTTTGTGCCCATTGCCGCATCAATAGTTATATATTTAATATAAGTAAAATTTAGATTTAGCTTAGTTATATATAACTTTCATTCGTATATCGTATTCACATAAACTCAGATAACTTCCCGCTTATGATTAATCTTATACACATTAATATACCGCTCATTTATTTATATATATCTTCCGCATACTGCTATTCATTTCCCAGCTGTATATATATATGTATATTTTTTTAAAGGCAACCCTTTAAGGCCGGGGGAATGTTTGCGCCACAACTAGTTTAAATGCACATCTCGTGTAATAGACAAGGACAGACATACTCACGATCTAGGGCCGAAAGGAGCCGAGTACGTCCGCGCCATCGCTGGAAAGAAAGATGGCGCTTCTTCTTCGTTTCCCGCTCGTGTCTGAGAAACGCCGCTCGCACATAATTACGTTTTATAATAATTGAATCACTACGATTTAATAAACTATTGAATTGTCAAGGTGTATATAGATAGTGTGCAATATTCAAGGTGTATATACACTAATTTCCGCCGCGCGTGTTGTGTGTGTGATCAGTTCATCGATCATCATCGTCGTCGATCATCGATTCCTGCACCAAGACGCCATAGCAGAAAGCCAGGTACGCTCGTAACTCCTTACTTTGCCCGTGATCTGTGACGACAGTCTTATCGAAGGAATATATCTCTCGGGATACATATCCCTAGGGAACCGCAATAACACTAATAAATTCCTGCTATTTGGTAGTTTGTATTCACACATTTCAATTTAAAAATGTAAAGTTGCAACGATTATTTACAAGATCAACAAGCAAGTTTCTTAGATTCTATAAATTATTTGCTATTAGCTTCTAAAAAATCCGTTGATGATATCTAAATTTTACGCGCAAATCCAATATTTTGACTCTAATAAATTCCTGCTATTTGGTAGTTTGTATTCAAGATATGTTATATATATATAACAAGACAAAACACATTCAAACAACAACATTGGAATTGAGAGAGGCATGACATTTAGGAAACCATTGACAAGAAGGAATTTGAAGTATAAATAGGAATGTACTATAAAAGAACTATACATTAAAATACAAATTAAAAAAAAATACATTTCTGATTAGCCATTATAAAAACAAGAGTTTTTATTTGTGTATTGCGAATTAGGAATTAATAATAGGCCATTAGAAAAAAACCCGAATACGCTAAGAACGGTCATTTCTCTAGCAGAATTATTTATTGGTTCTGATTTTATTCAGCCCGAAATAAGCCCTGCCATTTATCGACAAGCTCGAAACGCACGTAATGGGGGATAAATCTTTGAGTTTATGAAATTCATGGACTTTTTGTGGGGGCAACTAGATTTATGGGTTGCCACTGTAATTGTTAAAGCTTGTAAGGCATTTTGGAGGGAATGCGGGCGGAGTACATATTCTGTTATTGGACTCTGAATATTTTTCATTTTACGTTTCAAATTCATAATTTATAATGTTGTATATTACGTTAATATTTCTTTTTATTTATTTAAGTACTAGCTACTCGCCCTGGCTGCGTACGGGTACATGTATAATATATATAAACCTTTCATTAGAATCGCTCCTATCTATTAAAAAAACCGCTTCAAAATCCGTTGCGTAGTTTTAAAGATTTAAGCATACATAGGGACAGACAGCGACTTTGTTTTATACTATGTGATTATAATAATACAAATAGATAATACAACTAAGAGCCAGTAACATGTTTTTTTATCGTTACACAGACAATAAGTAATTTTAGTTTTAAACAGCACGAAAATAATATATAGAATAATGAAGAAGATCAATAATTAACTCAAAACCACATATTTGAAAGTGTAATATTCTTATAGAACTAACAGAAATGCTTTTTCAACAAAACATTTGATAGTGTAATATGCTTCTAGACAAGCCGGCACGTACAATTAATTTAATATTGAAGCAAAGGACAGCCCGCCGTGGTACTCGTAAACTGATTATGTATATCTATTTACACGTGCAAGCTTATAAAGCTAACTTATTACTTTAAGTTCTATCAATTCATAAACATTTTGCCCGCGCTAACAGTATACGCTGGCGGGGCACCAGTGGAGGATGTTTTATTTTTAGAGGATGATAATGGAATGATGCACTCGCCTGCGCTAACGGTATACGCTGGCGGGGCGCCAGTGGAGGATGTTTTATTTTTAGAGGATGATAATGGAATGATGCACCCGCCTGCGCTAACGGTATACGCTGGCGGGGCACCAGTGGAGGATGTTTTATTTTTAGAGGATGATAATGGAATGATGCACCCGCCTGCGCTAACGGTATACGATGGCGGGGCACCAGTGGAGAATATTTTATTTTTAGAGGATGATAATGGAATGATGCACCCGCCTGCGCTAACGGCATACGCTGGCGGTGCACCAGAGGAGGATGTTCTATTTTTAGAGGATGATAATGGAATGATGCACACGCCTGCGCTAACGGCATACGCTGGCGGTGCACCAGAGGAGGATGTTCTATTTTTAGAGGATGATAATGGAATGATGCACACGCCTGCGCTAACGGCATACGCTGGCGGTGCACC